ATCAGCCTCAGCCTCACATCCCTCATTCCTCAAAAATAAAACCAGAAACACTCACTCCGTTCACAATCCCTCCTAACACCACTCAACCCACCCACCAACTCCTCCACCCTCCCCTGTATATCAGCAACCCTTGCCCGCGCCATCCTCGCAGGTTCGACTACATTAGCTAAAGAGTTGGACGCCCCGGCGATGACGGCTTTCAAGTCGTTTTGGTAGTGCGTGTGTTGGGAGTGGAAGTCGCGGAGGTGGGTTTTGATGCATGTCGTGCAGTAGAATTGGCGTTGGCGGACGGTGCAGTTGTGGCATTCCATCGTGCTCAGTTGTCGTTGTAGTGGTTGTCGTTCAGGTCAAGGTTAAACGTTAACTCGTTGTCGTGAAGGTTGTCGTTAAGGTTGTCGTCGGTCGCTGCATGGATTGACGATGGAGTGAGATGAGATGAAAGGAAAAGACGACGAGTCATTGGCACGAGCTCATTGTGAATCTGATCATCGTCCCAGCCGAGCCGCGGATTGAGGGCTGAGCGGAGAAGGTCAGCTGTATGACATAATCGGCTTCCCCTTCCCACGCCAATCAATCTCCGCCTTAAATCATCGGACTGATCGTCGATCTGTTGGTTGTTCTCGCGCTGTAAGCCTTTTACCTTTCCCTCCCATGTCCTCCACGATTGCTCTGGCCCATGTGCAACGTCTGAGTCTCCTCGTTCTGAAACTCTGCGTCCGAATGGTCTCGAACTCTGTCGCACTGCCACTGCGGCGCTGCGGCTTCCAAATTTACTGCAACCCAACTGCTCTGGAGAACCACTGCATAGCGAAACCCGCCTTCTCTGCCTCAATACCCATCAGCTTCGCTCGCCTAGTATAGTATAGGCTATCTGTTCCTCTTTCCTTAACGTCTTCTGTGTAAACAGTACTAGTAACATCTCATCGCCGCTTCCTGGGTGTTTCAGAGTTTTTACCTTTCGCTCATTTCGGAAGAAATTTGATCTCCGATTGAATTTAAGGCGCTTAATGTCGTCTGGCCAGGCTAGGTTGCGAAGACCGGCCTGATGAGCATGGTCAACCAGATCCGACTTGGAAGTCGATACGTAGAGCGCATGGATTAACGGGACATACATAGATGCATGTACATATCGTAGCGGATACAGCGTACAGGGAGTCGGGACCAGGGGTGATAAAAACAACGTTGCCCAATGCTGCATCCTGCACCGAATACGATGGAAATTCTCGACAATCGTCGATGTCAACGGCCTTGATGGTTGAGGGGAATTTTAACAATAATGATATGATATATAAACAACGAGGAATACATGATGGTACAAGATGAGATGAGATGAGACGAGACGATAAATACCAAATGGTTCCAATGCTGCAATGATGGTGTTCTAAGAGAATGAGACTGAGTTCCGTTGGGCGGTTAGGCGCTGAGGGTCGTTAATCGTATGCATGCGGCTCGATCGCTCGACGTTCATATTGTAGTTGAGAGCCTGTAGTCGAGGAGGTTGTCATCCAATTCACCTCCAGTGGTGCTACTGTATCCAACAGAACGGACACGACATCCTCGAGCGCCGGCCGTTCCCCACCGAATGTCGTCGAATCTGATATTCACATAACCGCCGTGACCGCGCCCTAGGCCTCCAGCTAAAGGCGAGCCAGAACGCCCACTCCTACCCCTCGCATTAAGCGCGCTTTGCTGCATTACTACCTGTCAGGATATCGACACGTGCCCCCCCAAAAACGGTCAGCACAGCCTTGTTGGACCTTATCCAACCACCGTAGATAGATAGACAGGTCGAGGTGCACCACTGCGCGCAGCGCAGGATGGATGCTGTTGAACTCACCGAGGATGACACCAGTGTTCACATTCACACCAGTGATATAGGTAACAGGCCCATAACGGTGGTGGTGGTGGACTTGAACTGAATATGTAAAACAATTAAAACTTGATGGTGGTAGATAGATAATGGGCATGGAAAAGTGAATCTAAAGAGTGTGGGGGTCCACTCACGACAGTAGACGTCCAAGGGAGGAGCCCCCGGCCAAGTGGCAGGCTGGGAGGCGTAGGATGTGACCCCCGTTGCATTTGAGTCGATACCAATATCAGACGGCCTTAGGGCAACTCGACGGTCCGGGGGTGACGGTGACGGGACATTGTCCGTAGTGCGCACTGTCGCTCCAGTTCAACTTGTGGTAGGGTAAAGGAAGCCTGTTGGCTCTGTTGCGCGTGAGGCACACTTCACGGGAACTGGGACAAGAAAGGCGTCCGTCCAAGGAGTCATATTTATAGGTTCTGCCCCTTGTACCCCGTATTCAGCTGGTTGACAGCGGAAAGATCCGGGGACAACTTTACTTCCTCGCAACTCCCACACACACACTCTCTCTCTTATGTTAGGATCCTTCTTTGTCTCAACCTTTCAAGCCCCTTCCGCAGGTCTGAGCATCGTCTCTACGACGGAATCTGGTATCAGTGGCTCTTGGCCACGTCAACTTATACAGGGATTCGACAAGACGCTGAGTAGAACATGAAGGCAGAAAGGGCAAGGATGCGGTAATCTCCTCCCAAGAACAGCCTCCAGCATCGTGGCCTCGCAATGCGAGGTCCTTAGTCATTGAACAGTCTAATAGAATATGGGGTTGGTGAAGGATGCGATTCGGTCGGCCTTGGTCGTGGACTCGTAGAGTTCCTCCCAATACGCACACCAGTGATTCCACGCCTGAGCCGGACAGAAGGTCAACCAAACACGAGTGTTCGGCGCGGGCGCTTGTCCGCAATGTAGCCTTCCACATAAGGAAACGAGGGGTCCAATCGCGTCAGCTTCTACCGTATTTACTTAGTACTTAAAGGCAATGGGATTGCAGGACACATTGGATTCCCATCATTTGATTTGCGCACGACGCAGATCCGAGTCATCGATCATCGACACACCCATAACTGCCTCCCAACTTACAATTGCGTACTGCTCAGTATCATTGAAGTAGGACTGTTACAGCCGTCAACCGTACGTGCTCGTATCGCGACGCGACTCAGCAGTTCCGAGAGAGATTTGTGATCCTGACAACCTGCCGGGCGAATATTTGATTCGCGAGTTCTGCTGCTACATCACTCTCCCTCGACTTCGTTCTTGCGCGTGTGACAGCGTGGTGATTTTTTGATTTCTGATTTCAGAGTCGAGGGTGAAAGTGCACCAAAATCACCTTTTAAACTACGTACAAGAGTCCGACAACCAATGAAATCAGACTTCAGCGGACGCGATGACTCGAATGCACTGTAGGACGATTTGTTGCACTACCATTCGAGGGTTACCACGAGCTGCGAATGAAATCGGCTGCCCTCTCCGCCAACACGTATACCGGAACCTGAGTGTGCACCGACGGCACATACGGCTACATCATGACCATCATATCTGAGCAACCCGCCTTTAACGAGGAGAAGAAAAGCACTCACAATCACTCCAGCATCAACAGTCCTCACACCCTTTACACCTTTCACCTTCAACTCTGAATCCACCACCCCACGGTTCGTGCCTTTGGGTGACATGGCAGTCGTACCAACCGCATGCCAATACGTCGCTACCCCGTCTCTGATCTGGGATTCCAATTCCGATGGGGTGAGCTTGTCAGGATCAGGCCCGAGGAACTCGGTGACGTATCCTTTCCAGGCGGGTCCTTCGTACCAGCGCTTAGAGAGACGGATACCCTCGATCAAAGCCTCGATGTCGAATGGGTGGGTGAGGAATCCTGTATCAATGAGTGGTGCGTCGAAGGGGTTGGAGGAGCGGAGCTGTACTGATCCACCTGTCTTGCCGTATGAATCTGGATAAGCGCTAGACTTTAAACTGGAAAGCGAGAGAAAGAGAACGCACGAGAGTATGGCGTGAGTAGGATACATCGACTCGTGAAATTTGACCCTGGTCTCTGTAGTAACGATATCAGTTCCAGACTTCGACCGTCAGGAGGATAAGCGACTTTACGGGCAGTGGCAGTTCAATATGTGCAGCCGTAGGTCCAGAGGAAGGGTCCTTGTACTTCTTGAATACATCGGCGCTGGACGGGAGGCGCGCGAACCATATCTGATGACCGATAGGCCAGGTCAGCGGGCCCGTGCGGTTGGCATTCCACTCCGCTAACGCCTGAACTTCGTCGATACTGAGGAATAGCAGCACTTTAGCCCGACCTCATGACTCGGAGGACACGTTACACGACACTCACGGAACCGCCGTATCGTTCACCCTCCAACTCAAGAACAACGTCGGGTGGTCAGTCATCCCTTTCCCAACGTCGGGAAGGTGGTGGATTGGCTTTACACCAACTTCTGCCAGATCGCGCTGATCGCCTATTCCAGAGTTTAGAAGGATCTGGGGAGAGTTGAAGGCTCCTGCGGAAAGGATCGTTTCCTTCTTGGACGTTATGGTTCGAGTTGAACCTGGGTAGCCAACGAGAGCTATCCATATGTAGAGCATTAAAAGAGATATGACAAAGACGCACCACCATTCCTTGGAGCCATCTCGACCGTACGGAGATTGAGCACGCCGTCTCTACTCTTGGTGGGAAGGATGCGAGTCACGTAGGTGTTCAAAAGGATGGTCAAGTTAGGCCTCTTTCGAACTTCCGCGCCCAGATACGACGTGGCAGCACTACTTCGCTCTCCATTTCCAATACTCAGTTGCGCCCAACCTTAAAGCAGGTAAGCATAGAGGGCGTGGATCCTATCAGGAAATCAATTAACGCCATAGGAGGTTCGGATACGCACCTAATCCGAGAATAGACCCGTCATTCATGTCGAGATTGAACTTGATCTCGTCTTGGAGGTTGGTATTCTCCAACGCCCGGCGATCGAACTCCGTCGCGCTGTCCCAAGCCAAGCTGACTGCAGTTTTTCCCGTGAGGCTATGGAAGCGGGGGTCGTATTCTCCTGCTGTCGAGCGGTTTCCTGGTGCGTTGACCCAACGTTCGTTCTATTACGGCCACAGGTATGTTCAGACAATCGCAGCAAACTCGCACAGAACGCACCCGCAACATCCATTTCCACAGTCCGTCCCAGCTCCACCGCTTATCGCTCGCGACTCGACCCCAGAGATCATAATCATCCTTCGCTCCTCGGGTGTAGACCATCGCATTGATGGAACTGCTCCCTCCCAATACGTGGCCTCGAAGGTACGGAATAGAGCGATTGTTCAATCCGGCTTGAGGAACGGTCGTGTAGTTCCAGTTGTAGGTTGCGTGAGTGCGTTGGAAGAACGCCGGTATTGTGATTGACGGGACATCGATGTTACTTGGGTAAGAAAGGTCGTTAGTATATATCCGAAGAAGGTATTGGTAGGTAGATCATACTCGGGACCTGCTTCGATGAGCAAGATGTTCCATTTCGGATTTTCGGATAGTCTACTGGCTACGACAGAGCCTCCGACGCCGCCTAAAAAGATGGTGGCACTGACTCAGTCATATATCGCAAAAGAAGGAACAGAGACGCACCACCGACGACGATAAAGTCATACACTCCAGCGCTGGCATTTGGTGAAAGTTCCGAAAGATTTTGAAGCACCAGTCCCGTGCTGAGCGCTACGTGGACAGCCACGACAACGAGCGCGCAGTGCGTTAGGCTGAAGTACCCCTCCAGCCTCATCGCGACGACAAAAGGCAGAGGAAGCGAAGGGGAAGGGTTTGAGAAAGCATCGCTGGCTTATATCTGTGCCTCCCTACCAATGATAGACTAATGAGAACCCAGGAGACAGTCATGTGTTCCAAATCCTGGATTGCGAGTCTTTACGTAAGTAAAGCGAGTTTTTTTAGGGCGAGAATTCTGCTCAAGGGCGTAACCTGCAATATCCATTTGGAAGGTGTTCCGTGATCGGTTTCTCCGGGGCGACTACCGGGGCGACTACTTACAATAAGTACATGAGTAGTCCGGGGAGGCAGCAGCGAAAAGAGCCTAATGCTTTCCACAGGAAGTGATTATATGCACAATTGAAATAGCGGAAGAATTCCTCGTCGAGGCGGTTGTTGGGCTTGTCTTTGGATCGAACCTTTGAGGTGTGAGACGCGGGCCAGATTGCTTGTTGATGTTTGCCAACGTCCTCTGCACTGCCACTGCCGACTTCCCTTTACTCACCCGGGAACACCAATGTCCTGCCCTTGCTCTCCGACTGCTCTTTTTTTGTCTGGCCCTGCTGAGCACTTGAGTAGCACAATCTCTTCATCTACATGAACGCAGACCGGAAATCCTGAAATGAGAATGCTGTGTAATCTCTTTAGGTAACTTCTCGAATGGGAACGAGCGCGAGCCCGCCGCAGGCGGGCGCCAGCGAATTGCCCAATCCTTCGCGAAGCGACCCACTTGAAGCAAAGTACATGGAAAGCCCTATAACCCGGTAACGCACACGTTGCCAATAGCACAGGTGCCAGGGTCCAGGGAAGGCAAAGACTATTTTACAGGAGTTCTAAAACCAACTTCCGGTGGAGCCTATTCACTGCGCATGCGCGTGAGCGCGAGCACGCCGCAGGCGTGCGCCAGCAAGCGCCGAGCGCATTTATGGGCGCATTTGAGTGTTTTAGTCACTCGGGAGTCGGAGAACGATAGCCTCCTGTTGAGGCGCCCACGGTGTTTGATGATGGACTGAACCTTGGATCCCTTCTGATTTAGCATGGACATCCGACAACTCCGGTAGTTACTATTCATGCTGTCGTGAAGCTCCCTTTTCTTCTTATCCTTACGTCTGGGAATGTGTCACAAATGGACCGTAACGCAAGTAATAACTCGCCATTGGACAACATCTTTAGAATTCAACCCATTGCTTCGAATTTCGCGCAAGGTCAAATTTCAATGGGGTCATTTGTCGCAATGAGTGGTCATATATGCACCGCGCAGTTACCAGTACGCGCAACTCCTGCTCTGGAAAAGCCTCGAATTTATCCAACTTGACCAGGTATTCAGAGAGATCTGGCACTTCCCAAACATACTACATAGCTGACTATTTCGGTGCCAGCGACGCTACGTTAATTACTGATCTAACCTTAGCTGTGGTCAGTCTCATAGCTTGTTAAACCGCTTTCATTCCTCGATGGTTTATTTGAGAGTGCGCCTAGGTGCCAATGGTGCCTCCTTGCGCCCAAATACACTCCCAGCTGAGATTGTGTTCTCGAGATGTATGCTGCAAAAGAGAATCAATATCTAATGTCACTTATGATTTCCTCCCCAGTCTTTCGAGGCGTTTGCGGTGACTTCTGGATACTTCAAGCAACATATGCGGTCGCACTTCGCACCCACCGATAGATAGGGACTTTGAGGACATTTTCGGTCGACAAAGCAAAGCCACCCAAGGTTGCCCGCGCGGGAATTTCATCCAGGACGTTCCCGCCGACGATACCTACTCAACATAGTCTCAAATCCTTACAGGCTGTCGAAGCGACCCTAAAAGAAAGTAAAGACTCGCACTCGCCGTGCCCGTGGCATCGGCCTTTTCTCAAGTGGCAGCGTGAATGTTGGT